GCTATTTCGAGACACTAACTTCATAATCCTTCAGAGAGCCATCTTGAGCCGCTTATCCAAGAAGATGATAGCCATGAGCGATGAATGGACTCCCATAAATGATCCCGTAGAAGTGCATATGACTGAACCACAAGATCTTCATCGTAGCGCCGAGGAAAATTGTCAGCTCTACAAAAATCAAACCAACGAAAGCACCATGACACACTGACAAAAAACCAACAAATCCGGAAGATCGGCTGTGAGCCTGCGAGGACACAAACTCAAGCTCAATAACAGACGAGCCGAATCTATAGAGAAACCATAGATCTGACTTCGTTCGGTAAAGCATCAATGCAAAATTAGGACCTTAGACAAGGACAGAACCTCTCGTTCCTCCCATAACCCTTGATGATTAGGGTAAACACTTCAGTCCAGACATCGTCCACGGGCTTGTAGATTTGCCTCCCCTCAGCCTTCCGCGCGCTCCGGCGGCCGGTGGTAGGGAGGAGAACTTAGTAGTTTAGGTTATTTTTTTTAGTCCTCGCACGTGTAGCGCTCGAGCGAATGGCGACACTTCTTCTTCAAGTTTGTCCTCCGGGCTCTGATCTTCCTCGAGTTCGTTCATCTGGACATAGTCGATGGGGCTCTGGCATGGATTCCTACCGTGTCCAGGGCAGTGAGGTTAGGGTTTTTCGTCGTGTGGGAGATTTGGTGTCAAGTGTTTTAGATCTATTTAAGGGTTCGACGGCGACGACTGTGGCTCAAGGGCGTTGGTCCTTAGAAGCACGTGCACGAAGGCTTCCTGACTATCATCGACAAGGTCAAGCCTGCTCCGGTAGGAAAGCGGCGACAGCGACGCGTTTTGGCGGCGGTAGTAATTTCGGTGGTCTTGAAATCTCAATGTAATTTTTATTATGTTTAAGGTGAATTGTACTTCGTTGAACTTTAATAATAAATCATTTTCGCAAAAAAAGATCTTAGACATGAATTCATCAAGTTTTTTTTAATAAAAACACCTGAAGGGAATCTTAGATCTGATTAGTATCGAGGAAAACAAAGGTCAATACAATAGATAGACAACTAAAGGTAGAACGACCAGTAAAAAATAAAATTACATTAAAGAGTATACTAGTCTTCTTTTTTCTTCAATTGTATGTCACCTGCCGGAGATGGAAGAATGTCAAAGATTGAAAATTGCAATGAATCAACAACAAAGAAAAGTGAACCTGTAAACACCCTTGCAATACCAGGCTTTAAAGACCGTAATATCGCTCATCTTTTAAGACGAGATCTATAAATTGCTAAAGCTACGTCGACTGGAGCATCACCTCACGCGGAACAGACTTATAATCCATCACCGCCATCATAGAGGGTTGAAGAACCGGGCCAATCCACAGAACAACATGGAAGACGTCGAAGTTGCCACACCAATATCCATCCAAAAGCTCTCATGGAAAGGCACACGAACTGTCAAGATATGGAGGGAACCAATAGATCCGGGGACACAAATTTTCACAGGTCATTTGCCGTGTCGGATCGAACGCTGTCAAGGTAGTGAGAGACCAGAGAGACCTTATTCTAACACTCCATCGTCGCAACTACCTCGTCAATGTTGCCGGAGAAGCAAAAACCTAAGTAAAATATAACGAGATAGACGGGTCCCCACACCTTTTGCCGCCGACGAGGCCACCAGGCGGGGAAGAGAAAGGGGACCGAGGCGATGGTGGAAATTGTGGCGGCGGCCGCCGCCACTAGGGTTGGGAGGCGACGTTGGCTAGGTGAATTCATCAGTTGTTACACGTGCTATACGGTGCACAATACCAATCTCGTGCATATTATTTGCCAAAAATATCGGTGATAGTTGGCTTGTTGCGGTTGCTGTTTTTCTTTTTTTGGAACAGCAGTTGTTGTGTTCACCATGCCAGGATCCAGAACGGACGGCTGAGATGGTTGTTGTGCCTCGACGGCTAGTCAACCCACTCGCACGGTGTCGCGCTCGCACTAACCAGGGAGCCGTTAGGACCTCGAACCAGCAACGGTAACTGGCGACGTTGGCGGCCAGCCAGCCGCTTCCTTCCTCTCGAATCCCAACCACGGCGGCACGGCACCGTCAACCCGCCGTCACAGATCCCTCGCGCTGGCGTCCGCTGCAAGCTTCCTTCGGTCTCCTATACTCGTGTTGCGTTTCTTTTCTTCTTCTTCTTACCTCACCCCTGGCTTCTGTGGGTTTTTGGTTTCGGCACCTAAATGGATGTTCTTCGCAAGAAAGAAAGAGAAGGCCTGTCTCCAACACCGACCCTAAAAAAAGACCATCCGGGTACGTCTTGACCATACTGTCTCGACCGTGATGTCTGTATATGTTGTGTCATCCAACATGAATCTGTA